GCTCGTTCGCTACGCTCACTCGCCTCCAGGTTGAAGTTCGTTCGCTACGCTCACTCACCCTTTGGTTGCAAATTAGCTGTTGTCATAAATGTAAAAGAAATAATAGTGCTAGTGCTGCACCCTGTTGGTAATCCTTGTAACTTTAATGCTATTGAACATCACAGAACAGAACCAACTTGTTTAATTGAAACAGCTGTTAAGATTCAATAATTTCATTTCTCATAAGGTTAACATGGGAAACTCCAGAGCCACTGGGGCGGAGCCCGAAAGGATTTTTGGGATAAAAATATGCCTATATGTTAATCGGGAATGTGAGCTATCATCATGCCGAATTTCAGCCCGATCCGACCAGTATTTTTCGCGTTTACTTTTCCCATACATACAGCAACCACCTCTTTTTTATAATAGTATAGATTTCACAAATATTAGAACAGACTCAGTATAGATCATAAACATAAGCAACTGAAAAGATCCTATACTAATGAAATAACATTAACATATGGTTTGACAGCTCCATTTAAGTAATATTAATAATAATGTTTACATTCCGCGGAGTGACATCATTATTTTATATTTATGATCTATACCCTTTCTGTTTTAATATTCGTGTAGTATTTAATATGTTTGAACCGGCTGTGTGGAAATGTGAAATCAAAATTCATATGAAATTTTTGCATGTTTACAACTTTGTGAGATTGTACTTTGTTACCATGGAGACCAATCAATATTTACTTTTCAATTTCTCACCTCAGAACTTTGAAAGAGTCCTAGGTCAATATCGAAGAAGGAATAGTTCTATATGTATCCTCAGAGCGGTAGCATTATTTTTGTCTAATTTGAGCAGTCTGTTTAGTTGTTTTTGAGTTTAGCTCATAAAAACACACAGACACACAGACAGATAGACAGACAAATACCACCTCTTTTTTATAATAGTACTAGCAGCTTGTATTGTACTTTCTCAGCTTTTCCTTACTTTACTGCTTTAGACCTTTTTCAGGACTCAGATAGACTGAACAAATGAAATTATTTAACATTTATTGTTCTCAGGACTATTTCTAAATCTATATACAATATATACAAATTTCTTCTGTTCACAAAGCCCAGTCTGTGGCTTCTCCTACTTGACTTTCAGACGTTGATTCCCTTCGACTCTCAGAAGTCCTACCGACATGGCTCCGTCTCGGAAAATGCTGGGCGGCTTACTATCCCAAACGCAGCAGCTCCCGTCGGTGTTGCTAGTTCTGTTGTCAGATGCAGACTGCCATCTCCGCCTATAGTACGGGAACAGGATGGACCGAGCTCAACACGCCTCTAGTGCGGGGACGGGATGCACCGGGCTCAATACGCCTCTAGTGCTGGGGATGGGATGCACCGGGCTCAACACGCCTCTAGTGCGGGGTGTACAGGGCTCAACACGCCTCTAGTGCGGGGTGTACAGGGCTCAACACGCCTCTAGTGCGGGGTGTACAGGGCTCAACACGCCTCTATAGTAGGGGGACGGGAAGCACCGAGCTCAACACGCCTCTAGTGCTGGGGATGGGATGCACCGGGCTCAACACGCCTCTAGTGCGGGATGTACAGGGCTCAGCACGCCTCTAGTGCGGGGTGTACAGGGCTCAACACGCCTCTATAGTAGGGGGACGGGAAGCACCGAGCTCAACACGCCTCTAGTGCTGGGGATGGGATGCACCGAGCTTAACACGCCTCTAGTGCTGGGGATGGGATGCACCGGGCTCAACACGCCTCTAGTGCGGGGTGTACAGGGCTCAACACGCCTCTAGTGCGGGGTGTACAGGGCTCAACGCGCCTCTATAGTAGGGGGACGGGAAGCACCGAGCTCAACACGCCTCTAGTGCTGGGGATGGGATGCACCGGGCTCAACACGCCTCTAGTGCTGGATGTACAGGGCTCAACACGCCTCTAGTGCGGGGTGTACAGGGCTCAACACGCCTCTATAGTAGGGGGACGGGAAGCACCGAGCTCAATACGCCTCTAGTGCGGGGTGTACAGGGCTCAACACGCCTCTATAGTAGGGGGACGGGAAGCACCGAGCTCAACACGCCTCTAGTGCTGGGGATGGGATGCACCGGGCTCAACACGCCTCTAGTGCGGGGTGTACAGGGCTCAACACGCCTCTAGTGCGGGGTGTACAGGGCTCAACACGCCTTTATAGTAGGGGGACAGGAAGCACCGAGCTCAACACGCCTCTAGTGCTGGGGATGGGATGCACCGAGCTCAACACGCCTCTAGTGCTGGGGATGGGATGCACCGGGCTCAACACGCCTCTAGTGCGGGGTGTACAGGGCTCAACACGCCTCTAGTGCGGGGTGTACAGGGCTCCACACGCCTCTATAGTAGGGGGACGGGAAGCACCGAGCTCAACACGCCTCTAGTGCTGGGGATGGGATGCACCGGGCTCAACACGCCTCTAGTGCTGGATGTACAGGGCTCAACACGCCTCTAGTGCGGGGTGTACAGGGCTCAACACGCCTCTATAGTAGGGGGACGGGAAGCACCGAGCTCAATACGCCTCTAGTGCGGGGTGTACAGGGCTCAACACGCCTCTAGTGCGGGGTGTACAGGGCTCAACACGCCTCTATAGTAGGGGGACGGGAAGCACCGAGCTCAACACGCCTCTAGTGCTGGGGATGGGATGCACCGGGCTCAACACGCCTCTAGTGCGGGGTGTACAGGGCTCAACACGCCTCTAGTGCGGGGTGTACAGGGCTCAACACGCCTCTATTGTAGGGGGACGGGAAGCACCGAGCTCAACACGCCTCTAGTGCTGGGGATGGGATGCACCGGGCTCAACACGCCTCTAGTGCGGGATGTACAGGGCTCAGCACGCCTCTAGTACGGGGACGGGATGCAACGAGCTCAACACGCCTTTAGTGCGAGGACGGGATACACCGGGGTCAACACGCCTCTAGTACGGGGTTGTACCAGGCCCAATTCAATTAAATCTATATAAATAACATTAGGTTTAATGAGTACCGTACCTAGGTTTGCTTCTACAAGGAAACTAATAAAGTTTATTTTTTAGTAAAATATTGATAGCTTAGTATAAAATAAATAAATTTGTCAAGTTTGATCAAAATATATCTGTAAACGAGCAAACTACAACATTTTACAATAGTCTCCATAAGAATAACATTGGAATTTTTAATTTACAATTTTTTTAATATTCTCCGTTACCAATTACTGTACAAAAACACTTTGATATACTAAATTATTTCTTTTTTTCAGCTCTTTAAAAACGTCTACAGGGAAATTTTGTGTTTTGAGGCTCAAAAATGAGAAAAACCATTTTTTACCAAATAAACCCCGTTACCATAGTTTGATCATGCTGGTTTGCGAACTCATTCAAGTTTATCCTGCCTTACACCTTTAAATAAAACTAGTGTACATGTTGCTCGAAATCGAGCATTTGCAAAGAAGTACAGGAGTTATTTACAAACAAATTACTTGGTTGAAAACTTATAACAGTCATAATTTCCAATGATTTTAAAAGAGCAAAAGAGCCAACTAAAAGATTATCAACCAATGGAAATACTTACAATTTACATAACAGTCCTTTTCCATTTTAAAGGGTGAATTTTTAACAATCAAACTGCCCATGGACGGGAAAATGTAAGCTTACAATTTAAAGTCAACGTAAAAAGAATGTCAGCTTTTATTAAGTATGGTACCGTACCTAAGTTATCTAGCCAATTTGTAGACAATAAGGTGTAGGCTACTTTAAACTCTACAGGACAGAGTTAGGCAATAACTGGCAGAAATCTGAAATGGTGTTATTTATCATAGGCTTAGTCATATGCCAAATCCTTAAAACTTAAAATACAAATTTAATAACTAACTTATACCATTAAACACAAACCAACATCCAAAACTATACACATTGTTAATACAACTTCGATAATTTACACATTGACTGTTTACAACATATCTTTTTCTTCTCACTATTAATTTTTGCTTCACAACGGGAAAAATTTGTTTCATAATTATTGAAATAGATTTATAATAATCTATCATATAGTTTAAGATTAAATAAACCTACCACATAGTTGTTTTATTTTTTTTATCAGCTGTCTAAAATTGTGAAATAGGCATTTGACAGTTCTGGTTGTTTACATTTAAATGTCAAAGCAAAAGTAAACATTGTGAATTTTTTCATGCTTCCATGGAGACCAATTATCAATATTTAATTTCTGACAACAGCTGGAGTTTCAAAACAATTTGTGTTTCCCATGTTAATCTTATGGAGAAATACGAAACTTTAAAGGGCCCCAGGGCCTCACTCTCTAATTATTTCCCTAAAAAGAAAGTTTCCTGCACAACTTCACGTTACGCTCTTTCCAATGACACCAAAAACATGTCAATCGGTTCAGTAGTTTCGGAGGAGTAATTGTCACAAAATTCCTGCTTGCGTATTAAATAAGTATAGATTTCATCAAAATCGGACAAAAATTACTTAAGTTATCACGTTCACGGATGTATATATATATATACATATATATAGGCCTATATATATATATATTTGGCCTCTGGGGACATCAAAATGAAAAAGTAAATCGGTCCCGGGCATAGGTCTTACCGTGCCACCTACCTACGGTAATAGCTCCTTCCCTATAGGGAAATTCGCTAACAAATGAATGGCAAATATTGCATGCCCATAAGAATAACATTGGAACTTTAAGGCTCGTAGAGCACATACTTTACTCAAAAGTGAGATTTACTCCTGTATGTGTGTGGGAGGGAGTCATTATAATCTTATTCTTGTTTTTTTTTTATTATCAAAAGAAAAGGAATGGTGGCTATAAGATTTAAGGGGGAAATTGAAACCAATATTTTACATACTGTACTTAACAAGTGTTGCATGAGTTGTGTCATGGCAAATGAATTCACTTTTCCTAGCAAGACCTACTCAACCATTATTTGAATCTAGCCTACTTTCTACTGCAGAGTAAATAACAAATCCAAACCTCAATACTAATACTTACCCCACATTTGTCAACAAGTTTTGTTAATGTTTCGCCCATTTCCTTTAACTTTTGATGGTCACTGGAAATTTTTGTGTACAGAAGCTGCCCATTTTTGCATTTTCTAAAAAGAAAACTGTAATTAGTGTAGTACTGATGCAAGAGAGAAGTTAGGTACAGAGCAAATATTCAATGGTACACTTAACCCATTGGCCTACTTCGATGATCGCCAACCGCCGCAGTGTGCGAAGCCCACCAAATACATTGACAGTTAGCAACCGCGGCTGAAGTAGTTCTGTTTAATCCTTCTAGTACTAATCGGCAATCTGCGTTACCGTGTTGTCATCGCTAATAGACTGGCTCAGATATTTTGTTTTACGTGTTGGTAGAACAGTTTTTTGTTGTTGTGAAAATCAGTAATATTATGATCCAGCTGTCTAAATATTGTTATATTTGTTTACTAACATGGCGGGTCGCGATGTTTGTCTTCGTTCAAGTGAAATTAACCGGTTTATTGATAATGACAGCTTTCTGTTGAATGATTTAGATAGTGAAATCTATGTAAATGGTGTCTACATAACCGCAAGAGATGTTCATGATTTTGCCGCGATCGTGGATGATGACGAAGACGTTTCCGTGACCGTGGGAGTTCATGATGTTGTCTACACGGCCGCAGGGGATGTTCATGATTTTCATGATGATGACTTCTACACAATGACGTTTCCGTGACTGTGGGAGTCAATTTTTATGTTTAAACGGCCGCGGAAGATGATTTTATAGCGATTGCGGACGACGAAGATGACGTTACTACGATACCGGGAGACGATGATGACGTCTACATGCCGCAAGAGATGTTCATGATTTTGCCGCGAACGTGGACGACGACGAAAACGTTTCCGAGACTGTGCGAGTCAATGATGATGTTTACACGGCCGCGGAAGATGATTTTGCCACGATCGCGGACAACGAAGATGACGTTACTGGGATATCGAGAGACGATGATGACGTCTACATGCCGCAAGAGATGTTCATGATTTTTCTGCGATCGCAGAAGACAATGAAGACTTTTCTGTGACCGCTCATGATGATGTCTACACGGCCGCAGAAGATGTCCACGATTTTGGCACGATGGCGGGATATGATGATGAAGTCTACTTGACCATAAGTGATGTTCATGATGGTCATGTGCCGCAATCGTGGAAGAAGATGATGATGTCTACACGGCCGCAGGAGATTTTCAAGAATTTGCCACGACCGTGAAAAACAGTGATGATTTTTCAGTAATTAAGAAAGATGCAGTGATCTTGGATTTTGCAGTGATCTCAGAAAACGATGATTATCACAAGGTATATTGCTTTGAGTTTCGCCAGACTGAAAATATCAGGTTGGCACACCTCTATGAAATACCTTAGTTATGGAAGTTATTTGAGGTGATGAGAAAGGTTTACACTTGGAAATCGGCTCGTTAGAATTATTCATTGCTGCATACATTTTTTTACTTGAAATACACCCTAACAGCCTACCGCAAAAATACTTAATAGAAAGTAGGGGTCTGCGGGTCAGACTTTTTTGGTTCGGGTCGGGTCGGGTCGGGCCGATAATTTTGGTCCTCGGGTTTCGGGCCAAAATCGGGTCGGGCCAAAAATTATTAATTACCGGATTTTTTATATTTTTTTAACTCCTATCTGTGTTTTTAATATTACTTGAAAATAACATATGGGGAAAATGTATTTATGTATATTATTTCATGTTCATAACTTATTTACAGCTTAGAAGTTGCCTCAACTGCAAGAAAGAAGAAAATAATTTTTTATATCAAGCCATTCTTTCCCATTTTCATAACTGTTGAAATATCTAAACAGCTATATTACAACAAGTTTGTAATGGAACTTAATATAAAAGGATCATAAACAAATCAATTAACCTTATCACAAGTTTAGGGCCTGTGGACTGGCTTCAAGACTGCAAGCAAGAAGAAAATAAAAATTCTATGTTTCCACCATGCAATATGAATCATTCATTCCCTGCCTCCTAACCTCCTAAGTACAAAAACCTCACACTTACAATAGCATTATTAGTTACATCATCATAAATAAAGAATTATCTATTATTGGCATTAGTAGGCCTACAGCTTTACATAGGAATTATTTTTTATAGGGCCTAAAATAGTAATAGACTAAGCAACATGACAAGTGGAGAACTCATTGAAGAAAATATATTGTGTAAACTAATTTACTATAAAACTCTAAAACAGTAAAAATAGCACACATACATTGTTTATGGTATAGTTATAGTAAAGACTGTAAAAATTGCATATCATGTCATAGGTACACAGTTATAGATACACAGTTATAGGCACAGTTATAGGTATTGCAAGAGATCCTAAAACAACTGATTTTAGCTAATAAATGAAAAGAATTAAAAATCCATAAACTCAAGTCAAACAATATCACAATTATTAGGTACCCAAAAAGGAACTCTTAATATAAAGAAAATTATATTAAATCAAGAGAAAAGAAAGTTAAATGCTAATTTGGCAACATAAGCAGACAGCAGAGACATTATAGTGCCCTAATTAGCAACACAACTCAATGTTTTTATACTGTAAGTCAATGTTTTTGAAACCGTAGGGTCTTTTTCTGGGAAGGAAGGGTAGTATAATGTAAACAAAAAACCATGAATCACTCTCACAGCCGGGCCCGGCGACACTCAAGGTTACAGACCCTCCCCCTCCCCTCCCCTCCCCTCTTACACAACCCGAGCCAGGCCCGGGGACACTCAAGGTCATAGACCCTCCCCCTCCCCCGCCCCTATTACACCACCTGGTTGTTCCAATTGCTGACAAAATGCAAGTAACGAAACAAGGAAGTAGAGACAAAAAGATATATTTTCTTTATTCAAAAATATAAAACTGTTACAGATAATTTATAAAGAAATTAATTCATGGAAGTTTGTGTCTTGTAAATATTGTATTGGATCTTAGAAATATCTTTTTTGAAACTCTATCTAACCTAAGAAAAAAATAATTTTACTGATGAAAACTTTCATAAAATAAAATTATAAAATATTTAGGCCTAACCTCTTTGTAGACTTGCTGATACTTGATACTTTAAAAAAAAAAAATGAAATAGTGACCATACTATGCCTAACCAGACGATCAGAAGTGTTGTTTTGTTTTGTTACTGAATGACAAAAAGGACAATAGGAAAATAAAAGAACAAGATACAGATCTGTACACTATATAAGATATTTCTTTTGTTTATAATTTATTATGTAAATAAAATACTAAAATATATTTTAAACAATAAATAATTAAAATGGGACCTCTGGATAAATAGTCTTTCTTTTGACCTCGTTTTCTTTGCACTGTTGAGTCACGGCTTTTGTTTTGTCAGTAGACGACTGGCTCTGGCTAGTGACAGTAAGGCAATTGCTCTGTTGTGTCTTTGTTCTTAAACGTGAGCAAACTTAATATTTAATTCTAATTTTAACATTTTAATTCCTCTGTAATAATATATAAGAGTGTTTCTTTGAAAATTACTTATTATAACTTTGAAAATAATAATAATTTTTTTTGGCCCGACCCGATCTTGGCCCGAACAAATCTCTGACCCGACCCGGTCTCTCGGGCCTTCCGCTGGCCCGACCCGACCCGAAAAAATCGGGGACCCGCAGACCCCTAATAGAAAGACACAAGGACAAGGCTATTGTAGTATAACCAATCCATTCAGTAAACTTGGTTAAACTATTTTAAAAATGGTATTGGTACTGGTATTGAGAATTTTTTTTTACGTATCGGTATAGAGAATCCATAAATTTTGGTATCAACATATCACCAATTAATCAAATATTTGTAACACTTCTTCTACATTATATATTATTTTGATTTGAATCTGTTTGGCTATTTCAGTGCGTTTTTTTTGTGCAAATAAGTTTAACTTTCTTAATCCCTTAAGTTGTGTACCAACCTATACTAATGCTTCTCAGGGACTTCTCAGAGGGGAGAAGAAAGAAGACTGGCAGAAGTCTCTAACTGGGACGAAATATTAAGTTTTTCTGTGTTGTGTCATCGTCATGTGTTTTATGTGTAATCAAGGCTAATCTGGACTCTGTCTACCAGGTAAGCTAGCTGATCCCTATCCTTGTACATAATAATCCTAATCAGCCAATTGGCCTTTCCTTAACTCCTAAAGTAGTCATAAACAAATTGATACCTATGTTTGCACGGTTTGGAATTCCGGAACCTTGTGTAAAATTCCGGACAATGGCCCTCCTTTTACATCCTGTGAATTTAGCAAGTTTTTAAAAGCTAATGGGGTTAGGCATACGCTTACACCACCTTATTTTCCCGCTAGTAATGACCAAGCGGAAAATGCTGTAAAAACAGTTAAGAAAAGAATAAGAGGGGCTTTGTTTTCAAATGAAAATGCAGACTTAGCTTTAAGTAGATTTTTGTTGGCATATCGAAATGCAGTACATAACACAACCAATGAAACTCCAGCCAAACTAATGTTTGGTAGATTATTGCGAACTACATTAGATTTGATACGTCCTTCTGTTAGTAAAACGGTTTTGTCAAACCAAAACAAACAAATTGTAAACCAAGGGGGCAGTCAAACTAGAGAACTGTCAATAGGACAGCCTGTTTTAGTGTGTGATTACAGGGGAAGGAATAAATGGACACAAGGTATAGTGATTAAAGTGTTAAGTCCTGTATCTTATTTAGTAAAATTAGACTCAGGTATTGTATGGAAGCGCCATATTGACCAGCTAGTCCGGTTAAACACTAAGGTAAATTTAGAGCTAGAGAGGTAGTGTTATAGAGGTTTGATCTCAATAAAGTTTCCGGATTGGCTACAACCTGTCATGCCACTTTTCCCTCCACGTTTAACTGCCGATCCAAAAGTTTCCTTGCTCCTCCAGTCCTCAAGATTCCAGGAAACCCTAAACATGTAGTCGGGCGGGTTTTATTTCACCCCCAAATGGTGTTTTCATTTCAATTAGTGCATCCCAAAATGTTCCAGTTGCAAAGCTTTTGCTCACGTACCAAGTGGACAAAGAAAGAAGCTCGATCCCAAAAGTCGTGAGTTGATTTTTGTTGGTTATTGCCAAAACTCTAAAGCC